TCTCAGGGATGTTAAAAAAACATTAAATTTTAATCGAATAAAATGTATTAAATATATTGCATAAATAATAATATTAATAAATAATTTTCTATTAATAATAAAAACATTAAAAAAAATATAAAAAAGTCAAATTTGGTTCGCATGCACACACACTCGTACACACACACACCTCTACTCAATGCACCTACGTTTTCTAATTTTGGTGGCAAACGGTTCAGAATGACTTGAAAAGTCGGAAGATTAAAATTAATGAAGTATTTTTTACTAATAATACAAAAATGATATGATAAAAAACTTAAAAAAAAAATTAACCATATGTTCCATCTATCAGAAATGAGAATGAGAATCGTTGCTATGGTAACTATATTGACCAAAACAAAAACCTCTTACAACATGAATAGATAAATATACATGTGTCAAACACTACACTTGAATATAAAATTATTAAAATAAATGTCTTAAAAACAAACAAAATTATAATAAATTTCTCTACGGAACGCAAAAAAAAGTAGAAGCCAACATAAAAAAGGATAACTCAACAGGTAAGTAATGCCATGAGAATATTTCACAAAGAATTGAATTGAATGTTTTCATAAATATTTTTTTACTTAATATTTCACAATTATTTCACCAGCCTCATCATGTCTGAACTATCCAAAATGGGCATCTACTTCGATGAAGTGAACACATTAAGAGTCCTAGAACCCCAAATAGCAAATCAAACCAACGACCTTAGTGATGAATGCCAGATCTACGTTGAAAAAATATCTTCTTTCTACAACATAGCAAATGACTTCGTGAGCACCATAGAGACTTTAGCAGAAGCCGTCGAAAAAGAAAAAATGAAAGCAATTGGGGCCAGAAATCTTTTGCAATCAATGTCAAAACAAAGGGAAAATGAACAACAGCAGTTGCAAAGTCAGATTCTTGAAAAAGCTATGGAGCTGGATAGATTGAAAGTTGAATACCATGCCTGGCAAGGAGTAGAACTAGAAAGACAGGAAACTTTGGATCATCTGCTGCAAAATAAATAAAGAGGGTAAAGGACTTATTAGATGTGTATATAAAATTATTATGTTTCTTTGTAAATGTATGTAAAATTAAATTTAAATATATCAAACTCATTGGAGATAGAAGTCAATAAGGCTTAAGTATCAATACAACAAATTGTTTATTGTATATCGAATGCTAACATATCAATACTTAGTCGAAAGAGGTCATAAAGCCACATCGTAAACATAAACTGATGTCTCATCGATAGACCAAGTTAGATGTTAAAATTTTACATATGGTGAATAAACAAATTTGAAGACCAATATGCTGTTTATACTATTATATTAATTAATATATACACTATAATATTAATATATACACATAGTTAGAAACCAAAATTTTATTTCAATATTAAAATGTAGTGAATGAAATAAACAAGACTTCTAAAGTGGTACAATTTTTTTTTACATCACTTTGAAAATTTCCAATACATTTAATGAAAATTATCAAAACAATTGAAAAGTTACATATGATCACAAAAACTGTAGCTCTAAAAGCCATTTTTATTTATTTTAATATTAAAGTAAAATTTGGTTTATAACTATTCATATATAAATATTAATTAGTGCTTCTAATTTTCTGCATTTTGTTGAATTATTTGTATGCACTGAAGATGGATTAAATCAAAACTCGAATCTTATGCTATTCTAATGAAAACATCCTTCTTCATTAAATTCATTTTAATATTGTGAATGGATGTCTGAAAACATTTCACAATCTGAAAAATCTTACAATTTATATGTATATATGTGTGTACATATGTAGGAAAAATAAGCTCTTAACATATCGTCCAACATTATATATCGATATACCTGCCTATTCATACTCTACGTATAGTAGCATTTCAAAAGTACTCTTATATATTTTCGAAATAAAACTTTCAGACAACCGTTACAGAATCTTATATCATGTATAAGAATTTTGAAATTTAGCTAGTCACATTTTAATATGTACTGCTGATGGTTTCAAATCTGTTGATTCCTAACTAAAAAAATATTAGAAAATAGCCATTACATATTTCCAAAATAAAACTTCAAAAAATACTCAAAGCCAAGAGCAAACTCAAAATTCCTAAATTATATTTTGGAGTAAACAAACATCATAACAATATTGCTCATAAAAGTAGATAGGGAGAATATTGCATAGGTAAGAAAAAAATATATTTTAAGGACTAGATGATAATGACCCCAAATTTAAAGGATCGATCACCAATTTATATATAGCTCTTAATATATCGTCCAACATAACATATCGATATATCTGCCTATTCATCATCTACAAATAAAGATCTTAGGTCGTTCTATCTTAATATATTTTCCAACATAATGTACTGCTGATAATTTCAAATCTGTAGATCCAACAATTAAAAATATCAGAAAATAACCATCACAAAATTACCCATTTGAATTACTCAAAGCCAACAGCAAATTTTTTTAAAATAACGAACACGGTAACAATATATTTTAATAATCATAAAAGTAAATAGCAGGTACAATACTGCACATGTAAGACAGTATTTTATAATAAAGACTAGATGATAAATAAATAAATAAATAAATTTATTTATCATTTAGTCTTTATAATATATAATACTGTCTACATGAGTATGACTAGATGATAATGACCCCAAATTTAGAGCATCAATTTATCCTAAATAAGTAATTCATTTTGTTCTCCTAATTTGGTATATAATAATCCTAGTGCTTACAATTAGTTCCTTCTATACTTCTAAGTCTGATCTTGAAAATAAGCAAATAAATTGCATGAAGTACATATTTTGCAATTTTATATGCATGTATGTATTTTATAATTATACTAAGTATATAATGGATCTCTTCCAAGCATAAATACAGACCCATTCATTAAATAGAAACAACTATCCAGCTAGAATTCAATGCATTTTATTCATTGAGCCAATAATATTTAGCATTTTTCAGTCAGTCATAAAGTGGTAATCATAAAGATAGCAAAAGCTTATAATCGGGTTGGATATAGAGTATAAGCAGGACACACTGTGTTACAATACCATTGTGAGCTTTAGTACTTATCGATTACCAGTAAATATACCTAAAAATATCTGTATCGTGTACAGTAGTGGAAATTAAAATTGCGTTACAACCCAAGTGGTAATCATAAAGATACCAGAAGTTTGTAACCGGTTTGGATTCATAGTCACATTGCGCAAGAATACTTTTGTAAGCTTCACTACTTATTGATTATCTGCAAACATATGTGACAATATCTGTATCGTATACAGTTGTGGAGAATAAGATTGCATTATATTGCAAGTGGTAATTATAGAGATACCAGAAGTTTATAATCAAGTGGATTTATATACACACTGTGTTACAATACTATTGTGAGCTTTATTACTTATCGATTACCTGACAATGTCTATATCGTATACAGTTGTGGAGAGTAAGATTGCATTACAATGCAAGTGGTAATACCAGATGTTTATAATCGGGAGGGATTTGCTAAATATACCTGACAATATTGTACCTTTTGGAATACCATGATATGGTTTTAATCGAATATTCTACAAGAACTAATGTGATATCTTTGTAGATACATAAATTTTCTGATATATTTTAAAGAGTGACTGTTTAAATGAGCAAATTCAATTATGATTAAAATATCCATATTTAAATAGTTACTCTATCATAAATTATATATATATATATATATATATATATATATATTTAAGACCCTTGTATATAAAATTGTTCATAAATATTTGAATCGTAATCAAAAAATCAGTTCCCATTACGATTATTTATATAACCTTGCAGAGCTTATATTGATATTATATATTAATTTTATTGATATGATGTTAATTTTATAACTTTAATTAATGCCATATTATGCCTTACTGATTATTTAGAATACTATTATAAAATCTGATTATTTAGAATTGTATTATGAGTGACTGATAATTAAATTATAGTGACATTAAACAAAAAAATATTTTTACTATTGTAAAAGTTAATTATGAATATATATATATCTGTATTGTGTAAAGTAGTGGAGAGTAAGATTGCATTACAATGCAAGTGGTAATCATAAAGATACCAGAAGTTTACAATGGGGTTGGCTTTATAAACACACTGCGTTACAATACTATTGCAAGCTTCAATACTTTGCAAATACCTGTAAATATACCTGACAATATCTGTATCGTGTACTGTAGTGGTTAGTAAGATTGCATTACAATGCAAGTGGTAATCATAAAGATACCAGAAGTAGGGTAGTATTTATATACACAAAGCGTTTGAATAATATTGTGAGCTTCAGTACTTATCGATTACCTGTAAATATAGCTGACAATATCTGTGTACAGTTGTGGAGAGTGAGATTACATTAAAATGCAAGTTGTAATCATAAAGATACCAGAAGTTTATAATCGGTTGCATTCACAGACACATTGCCCACACTATTGTGAGCTTTAGAAGCTATGGCTTACTTGTAAACATACCTAACAATATCTGTATCTTAAACATTGCAAGTGGTAATAATAAATGTACCATAAACTTATAATCGGGTTAGATTCATAGACACATTGTGCAAGAATACTTTTGTAAGCTTCACTACTTATCGATTATCTGTAAACATATGTGACAATATCTGTATCGTATACAGTTGTGGAAAGTAAGATTGTATTACAATGCAAGTGGTAATCATAAAGATACCATAAGTTTATAATCGGGTTGCATTGACGGGCACATTACCCGAGAATACTATTGTGAGCTTTAGAACCTATCGATTACTTGTAAATATACCTGACAATATTTGTATTGTGCAAAATTGTGTAGTATAAGAGTATAAGCACCATTTTTCAACATATATAAAGATAAATATGAGAAATACAGCTAAGTAAACGCAGAGAAGTCTGTCACACCTGTTGAAGGCATATTTATATTAAAATACAAGAATTATCATAACTTTACCTGATGTTTGACATCTTTGCCGTCATCCAGGGTAGCCGCTTGAATATTCAATGAAAGGACACAAGAGTCTTTCGAATTCCACACAAATAGTGTGTCATCCATACACTCTATTATATTCTGAGGATCGGTCACATTTTCCGGAAGACACTTCTCAATAACTTTGAAAATCTCTTTCTCACTCAGCCCCAAACAGTCAGTTACCCTATTTTTAATCATATTGTCTTTTGCTTGATAATAATAAAAAACGTTGTTATTCACCGGTGAAAACTTCTTTGCTCAAAACATAACCTAACTTTTGTCTGGCGTTTGCATGGCGAGTGCAAGAATCAAAACAAAGCGCGCGAAGGAAGTGCGGCGGAATGCCGATAGATGGAACACTCGTAGGTTTGAAACCTTGCTAACTTAGTTTATTCTTCGGGGCACAACTAGTGTAACCGCCTAAAAAAGGTGATTGTTGGGAATTTATATTAAATAAAAATACTTTATCAATCATTTCAAAATTTTAAGAATATATTTACACATGTTTTAAGAATACATAGTAAAATTTTTGAAGAAAAAAATTAAATATTTTTTAAGTTATCGTCGATCTCCAACGGCGCGCAGAAAAGGCCCTTCACTGCTGCAGGGATTCCGGCCTTCTACGTGGATCAAATTTAAAAATTAAAAATTCTTATTAAACTAGATAATATTGTCTGTAAATTGAACTACGATAAAAAAATAATCAAAAATTGACAAAATGCCGGCGTTTTAAAAAAAAAGTCGAATTTTACCCAAAATTTTAGTCGTTTTTGGACTGCCAAAATTCGATTTTTGCTCCGATCACAAAATCGATAGTTCATTTTACGGAAAACTATATATAGAACATGTAAAAAAAATTTTGATAGTGAACGGATTATTTGTTTTTGAGTAATCGCTGCAGCAAATTCGGAAAATGCTGCTTCGAGAAAAACGCGTTTAAAGATAAAATGATCGTTATACTATATACTTTTTAAATGGCTGTAACTCAAAAACTATTTAAGATATCGACTTAAAATTTTGGTATGTTATTTTTAAAGGTATAACCTATCGAAATATGGAAAAATTAAAAATTCGATTTTTTGAAAATTTCACACTAGTTGTGCCTCTTATATATTAGGTTGTCAAATATCTCCCTTTCGCTTTTTTGCTCTTGATTTATAATACAAAAAGGCGGAAGGGAGATATTTGACAACCTTATATGTGTTGGTAAAAATAACTGCGCGAATTTCAAAAATTAAACAGCCATTCAATGATATTAAATCAAGCCTCAATTACATTAGTTTCGCGGGACAACCATCCAATACGTTTTTTTTAATTTGCAGAAAACTGCATTTTTTGTTTTCCGGTTGGTAATTGATACTGATTACTTTTTGGCAAAGATCGGCCTGGACGTTTCTTTGCAATTAATTGTTGAAATTTTGTATTCGCTATTTTTATGTGTATGACGAGTTCCTGTAGATCCTAAAATATTAAGGGCTTTAGGAAAGTCGTTTAATTACAAACAATAAACAAGCAGAAGTGTATTTATTAACAATATCAATTAGTTTAATTATTTTTATTATAATTATTTTTTGTTATTTGACGATTCCAATATGGCTACTAGCTAGGAAGTTATTCTTTCGAAAGTTTGATAAAAAAAATTACTTTAATTGTAATTACCATTTTGCGTTAAGTTGCATTTACTTCCCCATACGTGTACATGATCAACTTAACCAATAAGAATTGAGATTTAGCTATTTAGGTAAATTGTTCAACTTTTATTTGAAAAATAAAATTTTTGCTTTTATTAAAAAATAATAAGATTTTCAACAGTTGTTTTTTGAACATGCTTATAATATATGTGATTGTATAAATTAAATTAACTAGTTTAACATATTTCATTTTATTGATTTTGAGCCCGAAAAATGTATTTTATTGGAACATCAACAGTAATCATTAGTTACTACATTATTGTCAATTGCATTACATAGTTTTAGTGTTAAGCTTCAATATCGCTTAGCAATTTACTGTAATTAATTTAAATAAAGTAATTTATTTACTGTAATGAGTCTATTCCTTTATGTAAAATGAAAAACTACGTAAAATGTAAGTAGTATTATGAAATTCAAAACTTCGGCGTGGGCCACCGGTGCCTCATAGAAAAAAATACGAAAAACATTCAAACATTTTTTTCCGAATAATTTTGTAATACACAATTTAGGCTTTACATTTTTTTATGAAATTTTGCACGCGTACACACTCACGCACATAAAAATATAAATTCCTTATTTATTGAACATGTAGAAATTTTTTTGTTGCAATATTAAAAAAAAACTATTTTCGAAAATTTTGATAAAATATATTATCCGATATATAGAAAAAAAATATGATGTAGGGTAGGACGGAACGCAAAGGTCCAATTTGACTTTGAGCAATTATATTGTGAAAACCAAACCAATTAAATTAAAATAAATAAAAACGTATCAAACGAACAACTATCTGACTACACTCAGTTAAACTCCCAGCTAATTCATTCATCATAGTAGTTTTTTGCTGTTTTTCAAAAATTTGCTTTCTTTAACTGAATTTACTTTTTTATGTACTATTTTTTATTGTTTACACTTTTGCCAGGATAAAGGTACAGTTGGTACATTTTATACCACCCACACGTAAGCTTTTATCGAGTATAGATAGAAAAACTGTTTAATATAACTTAAGATAATACATCTTATAAAACAATTAAATAAACGTATACCAAAAACTTATATTAAAGTCTTGTGAACTAAACAACAGTGCTCACAACCAAAAAAATAACAATGAAAGAAAATATCGTTGTTTTGAATTCTCAAACAATACCGTTTAACTCCTGTTAGCGACGTGGTATGAATCAAGGTGACGGCTGGTTATACTCTACTTTCAAATATTGTTGTTAGAAAATTTATAACTTTACTTACTTTTGAGATGTCGGTGGTGGACTTTTATGTCCCGCTCTACCTTACATGAACTACCTGAATATTACTATGCTTAAATTGCAAGTGATGTGTCGTGCTCTAAAAACCAAAAAATTCTCGTGAATCACCAGTATGAAGGTGAAAAATTCTAACAATAATACATAATAATAATATATTCAAATGACGCTCCTAATTCAAATCACGCGACGCCCATTTTGATGGCGATTCAACAGAAAATTAGAATTCCACTTCTTCCTAAATGTCTACTTACCCACTTACCCATTACGAACGCGCCCGCTTTTTATACGATTAGTTTTTTCATATTAATTTGAAAATCTGGCATGATCATTCTAATTAATGGATGCGCATTAGCCAGAAGAAAAATGTCCTCTGATGTTTGATAAAGGCAGATAACGTATGGAGATAGGTTAATTATTTTTTACGCATCACATGTTACGAGCGGTGATAATGGAAATATTTTATTTCTAATGACTTTACGGCAAAAATTCACGTACGGTTAGGTAATAGTGGTTAGGGCATTGGAGTACCAATGAGGGAAACCAATCAACACAAACATGTCCAATAAATGAGTAAAAGCGCGTTGATAAAATCTATAATTTAGGTATTGGATATTTTGTATATATTATTAACTTTTCGTAGGGTAAGTTATAGTAATCGGCCGATAATCGAAAATAAATTAGTTCGCATATCTTCACGTTTCGAAGGTTTCTGAACATTTTGGCATACCCCAGCGAAAATGAATGTGTGTGTGTGTTTAGTGTGTCCGCATTTTTTCGTCCAAGTTTCCGGGCGCACGGATCAACCGGTTTGAATGGTTCAAAAAACATTCGATTCCTATTGATAGGGAGATGTGCTGATTAGTTTTTGGCAAAGGCAGGTCCAGCCGTTACGGAGAAACAGAGCAAAGAGTGCCGAAAATAAAAATTGAGTTTTTGAGAGAACGAAGCATCCGATTTGAATGATCCAAAAAACATTCAATTTCTAATAATGGGAAAAAGTGGTGATTAGTTTTTGGCAAAGGCAGGTCTAGCCGTTTTGTAAATACCGAGCTAAGTGTGCAAAAAATGTCAGTTTTTGAGAGAACTAAGCATCAGATTTGAATGATTTTAAAAACTTTCTGCTTGTGTTGAGAAAACAATTGCTTTTGGAAAAAAATCATTAAATTTTTTTTATAACGAAAATAATTCAGATTTTATTTTTAATTCTGGCTAAAGTTCTAAAGCTCAATTATATACTCTAAATAAATAATTTTTTAAAATTTGCAATTCAGTTTATATAATTCTTATAAATATTGAACAATGTTATAGTATTTATTATGATCTATTTGAAAACATTTATCCCTCGAACATTTCGTTACGGTCCGGGAAGTTCCAGCGATTTGTCTTAAGGCACGATGCATACACCACTAGTTTTTTTGTTACTTTCTAATATTCAAAGACGTTGATGTAGATCATGAAATCTATTTCCATATTAAGCTTGATTATTTATATAAGTAGTCCTATATTCAGAGGCATTTTAACAATGGGGTAGGAAAGACTGGGTACGGTTGAGCCACTTTTTTTGGATCAGCAATAATTTACCACTTAGATTTGGGAAGAGTAAATTGAATAGTAATTCGAAAATTCTTGTACGTGGAAATACTGAAATACTGTCCCTAAATATGATATTTTAGTAATAAAATCTAATCATACTAGAAAAGAGCGAGTGGCACAACGACAACATCCCCAGGACGATTGTGACAGACATAAAAATGTCTTAAACAACAATAACTATGAACACCAGAAAGATTTATAACGACTTTTTTTATCAGATATATGTAAAAAATAAAAAAAAGACAGATATCTCATAGGAGATAATCTCTTAAATGCATTAACACCAACAGCATATTGTCTTAAAAAAATTATATTATTTTGATTGACAATAAAACTATGCAAATAAAAAAAGATATATGTAACAAAACACACTATAATCATTTAAACAAAGCATATCAATATAATAGAACAATATACAACAAAACTTCTTTAAAAAAAATTACAGAAACAATCTGTTGTTATCTTGTACTGAATTTTTCTTTCCCTTTCTCTGTTGCATTTTGTCTTAGTTAAGTTAAATTTTTCATAATCTGTTTAATTTTCGCCAAAAAAGGACCAGAAATACATGGCACATAAAACAAAAATAATTACTGGTAATTAACTACTAATCTTCAACTTACAGCAAATTAACAGACAAAGAGTTTTATATAGATTACTATAAAAAAATCGTACAAAAAAACTTCCTTTTGACTCTTCAAACGCAATAGGTCTAAGATCGTGA